AAAAGTGGCCTCCGAAGTGGAATTTTGCACCACGGTAGGCTCTGTAACATTTCCTGAAACGGAAGCGGATACAGTGGTGTTGGTACTCTCCGTTGGAGAGTAGACACCACGGCCTCGGATGTGTCCATAGCGGACTCGTCCTCGTGTGAGACGGAACAATTAGTCTGGAGAACAGTCGCATCGCGACTAGGTAAAATAATCGAAGGATTCAGCCGCATCGCGTACAAAGGCAAGGTATACCTGCATTGACTATCCGATGCCGGGTCCGGATCTGGGGGTGACGATCCGTCGTCCATTATCAGAGCGCGAAATTGCAAAGAACACTTGGCGGGCTCAAAGAATTACCTGGAAAAAGGGTACTGAAGAGAATAGGGTGAAGGCAGATATCCGAGAAAACGCAGTGCGGAGAACTAAATCGTCAAAAGGACATGAGGCGAAAAGCAACTTATCACTACTGTGTGAATGAAAGAAAATGCACGCAATAGAATAATTAATACTGAGGAAAACTTAGGTAAGAATTCAACGCCTAAGAAACTATAGGGAGTGAGAAGTGAAAAGGTAAGAAACCAAACCTCAAGTGGAAGACGCAAGAATTGAAATGTTAGCGAAGCAACATGGATGGGTACCATCTAGAACAAAAACAAAGCTACGCGAGATCATGGCATTTGATGGTGCATGATCGGCGCGGCGTAGCATGTAAACAAAGAAGCTCGCCTCGAACCAGCGGAGAAAGGGAAGAAAAAGTTAGAGCTGTGAGAGAGCAAGCATTAGAAAAAAAATGTTCGTGGTTTCTGACCAACCGGTCAAAGTGAAGTTCTTCGCGACCTGAAACGAGTGTTATAGGGATGGGTTGGCGGATTGGGTGAAATTGCCGAGGTGTTCCGGTGTCAAATGCTCAATCGCCGTATGGGAGTGACCCACTATAGGTTCGTCGGAAGCGTCCACGGCTGCGAGAGCCAGCTCCTCGACCTCAGGGATCCAGGGAGTGGTGAAAACTGGACCAGATAGAAGCTGACAGGGTTTCACCTGGTTCATATGGACCTTTTTAGGAGAAGATTGGGGCGAAGAAATGCTAACGATGGTTAAGTGGGGAGGGTCCACTTTGATGACACGGAATTGGCCTAACCAGGGGTAGCAAAGTTTTTGAGAGAGGCCCACTTTGGGTGCCAAGTCGCGGAGGTATACCCGATCACCTAGTTTGATAGAGAGGGGGGCTAGGTGGGATTGATCGTACTGTCGCTTGAACTTTTCACGCTGGCGGTCGTTATATTGGGCTGCCGATCGCCATGGCGGCGTGTAGGGTCGCGACCAAATTTTGAACATAGAGTCCGGAATCCTCAAAGGATGGAAAATGACGAGGCGAGATCATGCTTGATGAGCAAGTCTATGTTGAAAACTGGGTCGCGTCCGAACATGAGGAAAAAAGGGGTGTTGTTAGTTTCGGCAGCGGCCACTGTTCCGATGGTGGTGCGGGGTGCAAAAAACTATGAGTTTAAGTCATTGACACCAAATATTTAAAGATGCACTCCGAAACGATGGCTTGCGCTACCGTAATCGCCGTGCAGTCAGGGAGCGGTGCGGCGAATGACGTACTTAGAGAAGTGGTCAATCATGGCCAGGATGTACTTATTACCGGCTTCTGAGGTGTGGAGCGGGCCTGTGAGATCTACGTACACCTTATCGAAAATGGCCCTCTGACCCTGTTAGTGCCTTACTGTGGCCATATTTGGACGCTTTCGTTGGCAATGGGTCGGCAGGAGTTGCGCACTAAGCATGAAGATGTCTCGGAATATGAGGCCAAAATACTGGTGAAATTTCGGTTAGGGTTTTTCGCCAGTTGAAATGACCTCCCGAGGATGGGCTAGTATGAAATGCCAGAAGAAACTGGTTCCCTAAGTTTCTCCGGAACGATTAATCGCTCGAAACGGAATGGATTGGTGGCCATCTGACGGTCGTTATAATAAAGACAGCCGTCTTTTATGATGACGCATTTCTCAGCGATAGCTAGCCATGTCCTCCGCTCGTCCTCGGTAATTTCGGGAGGGAAGCGCTGGGTTTCAATGAAAGAAAGGAGCGCCGAACAAAATCGATCCTGTTTCTGCTCCTGAAGAGCATCGTACGGTCGAATTGCATGCAGCGGACCGAGACAACAGACGGTGGGGCGCACGGAATAGATGGCTGGAGAAGCTTTGTTAATGCTAACGGGGAATTCCACTATATCGTCCGTTTCTGGCGTATCGTCCCGGAATCGAACATGGGGGTTCACTGCTCGTGACAGTGCGTCCGCCACCACATTCGAAGAACCTTTGAGGTATTCGATCGTGACATTCGAATAGCTCTGCCGTTCGACGGCCATGCTAGGTTATCGTGGTTTGTTATGCTTGAGCAGAAAAGAAGCGGGCGGTGGGGATCCGGGAAATATTGTGGTGCTGATTACCAGTAAATCGATAGGTCTTGAAAAAGAGTAAACAGCGCTGTATGTTATGGGAATAGCTCGTGATGGAGTTGCCGCTTCCACTTTTGCTGGGATTCTGAAAGAGCTTTACTGAAATAAGCCGACCGCAACAAGTTGGCGATCGGTATCGGAAAATGTTCTGGAATAACGCGGCACCCACCGCATGCTGGCTACCGTCAGTATGAAGGAAAACTTCCTTGTCCTGAGGGAATGCCAAGCAAGGTTTGGAGGCTAAGAGCAGCTTAAGCCGTTGGAAAGCCTCTTCTTGTTCAGGCCCCCAAACGAATTTTGCCTTGTCCTTCAAAAGAGCATAAAGTGGAGAAGCTATGAGGGCAAAATTCGCTATAAACTTGCGGAAAAAGTTCGCCATACCTACGAATCCCTTCACGGCTTTGGTTGTCGTGGGGGTTGGGAACTCTTGGATTGCTCGAATGTTTCGCTCCGCTGGTGAATACGAAGAGCCGGAGATCTCATGCAAGGGAATGTAGGAAGGGCATGTCGTAGTTTTACTCCAGATGCCTTGATGTTATAAAGGCGGAACCTGTAGAAGACCTTGCGTAGGGACTGGAGATGACTGGGAAAGTCCTTATCAAAAACCACTATATCATCCAGGTATGCCAGGCAATTAGGCTTCTAAACCTGCGAGGATGCGTGACATCGCTCTGGAGAAGTAAGCACCCGCGTTTTTGAGTCCAAAAGGCAGGTAGACAAACTGGTAGATACCACGATGGGTTGCCCACCCGCACTTCTCCTGGCTCTCCGGGGAGAGTAAGAGTTGCATATAGCCGGACGCTAGATCCAGGGTGGTGTAAAACTTGTGGCCGGCAATTTTGGCGAGGATATCCTCAATGCGCGGGAGCGGATAATGATCCGGGACTGTCACCTCGTTCAACGGGCGAAAATCGAGGCAAACGCGTAAAGAACCGTCTTTTTTCTTTACCAGAACCGTGTTGTGGATCCACGGGGTGTCGCTTTCAACGATGCGCCCTGCGCGAAGGAGCTTATTGATGTGGTCATCCAGCTCTTTCTGGAATTTTACCGGGATTCGAGGGGGACGGAAACGAGTAGGTGGTGTTTCCGTCGTTGTCTTAATGACTATTTCCGACTCCTCGTAGGAGCCTAAATCGTAGGATCCTGTGGATATTCTGTCCCTAAATTCATAAAATAATTGAGCGAGCTGCTCACGCTCTTCCTCAGACACTTCGGCATGAGATAAATCGATATCGGAGGAATCAATATGAGTCTTGGTTTCAGGGCGATCCGCCCTCAAAGAAAAATTTCCCACGAAAGGTGAGGAATCTAATGCTGATGTAAAGAGAAGTGAAGACTCACCTTCAAGAAGAGGAACAGCTGATGAAAGGTGCTGACCTTTGTAAAGCGTTTCCGGTCTGGGAGAAGGGTTAGCTACCAAAAGGAGTGGATCGTTCGTGTTGATCACAGCTGGTGTCACCATTAAGGATTTTTCTGAAAGCTTTTCGCTTTGTGTGATCAACATTAATGGACCGGAATCGATCCCTTCCGTCCGACACCTCACAAAGGTCTCGGCTGCGGGAGGGAGTACGGTAGTTTCGGCGACGCGGACCGCCACCAGCTGATCGGGTGGCGCTGGCCGCTCATCAGGAACCGCGCATAATATTTTCAGCTGTTGGTCAGCCATTCGCAAGGTGCGGTTACCGTAATCGATTGACCATGGGGGAAGTTTGCGCAGTAAGTCGTTTCCCAGAATTATATTATAAGTGTCGGCAACGTCGGGAATGCAAGCCGACTTCGTAAAGTAGACTGGATGGTTGAATGATAATGAGCCAATTTCAAATGAAAGAAATGCGTAGCCCATGAGATGAACGGGTACCCCTGCCATGCCTACTGCGCTTGTCACGTCGCTTTCAGCGAGGCTGAAGGTTCCAAACAGTGGCATGGCTTCAACCGACGTAATGGTTATGGAAGCACCTGTGTCAATGAGCGCGAGCACGCTAATGTTATTGACCCGAATCGGAATTTGAGCCACAAAATAACGGTCTTGATCCGACAACTGCAGCACCTTGACCGGTTTCATAATCGCTCGCGGTGGCCAGGACGTGGAAGCATCTATTTTGACGCATGCCAACTGAACAGGGGATGGCGGTGGCTCAGAAACAGAAAGCGGAGTCGTTATGGAGGACCCCAAAGTAGGGCGCGCGAATGCACGCAAAGGGAGAGCGTTTGGCTCAAAAAAATGCTCTTGGAAGCGGGGCAACCACCCCGGGTAGAATAGATTACAATAGAGGGTAAAGGCTGCCTTAATCACACGGATGGATACGATAACGCAGCAAAAGGTGATCCAAAGGTGGAAGAGCGACCATGACCCGAAGATAAGGGTCCAAAAGGAAAATGATGGTGAACCAAGGGACCCGGGAAGCGCGTGTTCACTTGTTACCTTCACGCGAGAGAAGTGGTCAGACGAAACGGTAGACCACAATTCTTGCCACTGATGGTCCTGGACTAGTTCGCTGAGGTTAGTCAGGATTAAATTATGAAAGATGGTAAGCGGAAGCGCTAAAGCGGAGGCGTTGAGGCTAGAATGGGGCCCTATGCTACGAATACCAGAAAACGGTAGGGCTTGGGATTCGCCAGTTGAAAGAATCAAATCTAAGATATGAAGCGTCTTGCGAAAGATAGAAATGGCGCACTGCGGAGCAATCGGCTGGAGAGGCGCGCTGCGATACGACCAGAGTAGCTGGATCGAGGAACGAGAAAATCGCCTCGCCGCTGGGAGGGGTGATTTTGACCAGCGGTTGAGAATAGCAGGTTCCGTTGAATGGAATGAGCTGAAAATGATGGGGAGGAATAGCCATGCACCGATGAATTTGCACCAGGTCGTTCCCCAGCGAGGTGGCAGCAATGTCGGCGCGCCCCAACAGA